AAAAAATTTGGAGACATCGGTCTGGCACACTCCTCTAGGTGAGATACCGTTGACTACAGTCACAGACACCGCCAGCTGTATACGAGCTGATTGCTATGATTTGTACCTATGGTGGTATGAAAGAGAAGAACGATGGTCTGAACTGCCTGCGTTGCACTGAACTGACTCGGGAAGGATCAGACATGCTCAGAGGCTCTTTCAAGGATGTACGCTCGACGAATACACCGTCTTCGTTGAAGTGGCTGCATCCATATCGTGACAAATGGTCGAAATGCCAGAGTTACCACGAGCACGTGAGGGAGAAAGGTCGGCTCTCAGTTTATCCTATGCTTTGTGGTATGGTTTTAGACCAATGCACGCCCACAAACTCCAGTGCCAGCAAACCTTGTGCTGGCTGAAAACCTCTTGCTTTTCCAACGTTGCTGTTCCTCACTCACTGACCATGAACTCACGACTTGGATTATATGGGACTGTGCCACCAGGTATCCCACAAACACATACAAACAATGGGGACGCGTAAACTCCGTGAGAGAGATGCGGCTGGGTTCTCTCTGCACTTCACCAAACGATGAACCCAGTGCCAGCACAACTGCAGCCTCCTGTGGGCTTGGCTGGTGCTAGGGTGACCGTGAAAACCAACTCGTTCGCGATCACGACACCCCAGAAGGTTTACTACCATTACGATGGTAAGCGCGATATCTATCTCGCACCATCTGCCTTACTTACACGGTGATGTAGTTGGTAAGACCCTATGTGCACCTTTAGATGATCCAAGTGAGGATAACTCAAAGTAGTGATCATGAAACTCAACTATCGAAGAAGAGACGCGACGGGCCAACCAGAAAGGAAGGAGGTAAAACTTCAGAGACGGTACATGGATGTCATCAGCAAAATGCACGATGAATATCCTGCTGAATTCACTCCCCGTCCAAATTACGACGGTGTCAAGAACATGTTCTCGACTGTCAAGCACAACAACGCGACGGTAGGCTCACATACCCTTGCTGCGCCCTTGGGAATCACTCCCGACGCATCTTTTCCAAAGTATAGTGTGCACATGATCAATGACCCTAAGAAAGAGAAAGGTGTCCATGAAGTGCGCATCGCGTTAGTGAATGAAATACGGCCGCAGTGAGCAACTCAATCGCTACTATCTCTACAGTGATCGTCTAATCTGTGATTGTCAGCCTCTTGCAACGGTTAATTGCAGCAGGGAGCCATTCAATCGACACGACAGTGCAAAAACGAGATAGGATGAACCCTGATGCCGTCTCCCCGCCCATGAACCTTGATGCGACTGCGCTGATGCTGTTGCAAGTTATCGTTACGCAGGCTCCCCATATGTGAGTGCCTTAACCTTCTATCCCATGCAGCTATGAACGGATTTGCTCTGTTAGTCGACACAAGTTTTCTATGCATTCAAAAGCATTTTACATTGAATCCAGGGCTAGGAATCTTTCCGGTGGACTGCAAGCGTTGCCTGGCTTTTTCCAGTAAGCCTGGGACACGTACACACTGGGATTTCTCTGACCATGCATAGGAGCGTGCGACCATCCATCGGCAGATTTCTTATCAATGTTGACACGACCACGGCGGCGTTGTAAGCAGAGTCATGCCTCGCTCACTCATGCTCTACGCTCTGATGCAACGTTCGCACAAACCTCAGCTACAAGAAAGGATGGTTGCTGAATCTTGCACTAGAATACTTGGGAGTCAGGGAGGCTCGCGATGTTGTGAGAGCCACCAAGGAGAATCGTGCTAAATGGTCCTCTTTGCGCACGTTCTTGAGAGGCTTGAATGTCATGATCGTCCCACAAGCAACTAATTTCAACAGTGAACCACCGCGTAATGATTCATATAGGGTATTCAGGATCACTGATATCGTAGCGGACGCCGGCAATATCACATTTGATGGACCGGATGGACCCACTACAATCAAGGTCGATCTCATATTTGTGCAGCTGGGACTACACAGTTGAACGAGTTAATCTTGACAGAATTACTGGCAGAACACGCATAATACCGGAATCCGATATCCCGATTTGTTTGGCATTTCTATTGGGAGAGATACCATTTTCCCCGCTGAAAAGTGCTGGGTTCTTCCTGGACAGCGGTACACGCGCAAGCTATCTCCAGATGCTATGAACACGTTCTTAACGGTTTCAAAGTCGAAACCCATGGATAGGATCAGGGACATCGAAAAGGCAGTCAATGGACCAGTGAGTCTGCTGCCGCGGCTCCACATCGGCACCTTGCTGATTGATGCATGGCGCATGCCAGGATTTGGACTATGCTGCCTCGAGCTGGATGCGCGAGGCTGGCATAACTGTTAATCCTCAGGCTCTGCATATAGATGGGCGACAATTAAATCCTCCATCCATCGAGTACGCCTCAAACACTCAGGTGGTACGTCAGATCATCTTCCAGTACGAGTCCTATCGCAGAGTTGCTGACTTCGCTGGCACATAAGGCGGTCTCTGACGGTAAATGGAATGTTGTGAAAAAAAAGTTTCTGATGCCAAGGGAGATTAACGCGATGGGTGTGATCGTCTTCGACGCGCAAGCACAGGAAGCGGATGTCGTAAACTTTGTGCAGAAATTATATACGAACATGCAAGCATTAGGTAAGAGCAGATCTCTTCGCGCGACTTCAGCTCACGAGCCATCATGACAGGCATAGGTAAGAGGTATTCCCTCGGCAAACTCTGACTCTTGTTGAGAAACACGTTTTTGTAGTGATGAAACTCGAACCAACGCACATCTGCTACCGTATAGGTAACCAGCAGAAACCCACAGATGTGCGCGACACTGTCACATCTGGCGACGCAGGCTGCTGATGTTTTTGATTGTTATGTTTTAGTCGATGACGGAAGCTGCGAAGGCCACTGTCAACCGTTTACCTGTGGTGAACGGTGTAGCACCAAGACCTGATATGATGATCGTCATTTTACCCGCCCAGGCTGCCCCGATTAGACAAGCAGTCAAGTACTGGGGAGATGTCTCCAACGGTATTTCTACGCAGTGCGTGGTCAGTATATCATTGCCACACTTTATGGAGGTTTTAGCGAAGCTTACTTGCACTCGTAGCGTCGTGGCAAATATGATGTCCAGCGCGGGAATAGTCTTGACCAGTATTGTAACAATGTTGCGCTGAAGTAAGTCTTGAACTACTGATGGCATCATTCGGTCCTGTTGACCCACATCTCGCCAGGATTAATGCCAAACTCGGTGGAATGAATTGCACGTTCCGAGATTCGAACGTAGATACCGCTTTGCGCTATGCCATGGTCGTCGGTAGGCCAAGGGATGCATGTGTTGGTAACGGCGAAGCTGAAGTTTTGTCTCGCTAGGTTGTGATATTAGTCATCCCGCACCTGGTGTTAAAAACAGGCCGTCAATCGCCAGCCTCGTAGCTTCCATCGACGAGCGATGCGTCAGATATAGCGCGCATGTCAGATGCCAGGATCCCCGTCAAGAGGTGATAGCAGACCTGCGTGGGATGTTGCTGGTAACATGCACACACGTGACTGCAAGTAAACCAATGAATCTCATGGCGGTTTGTACACAGGATGCTATCGACAGCTTCAAAAAGCGATTCAATAACCACGTACCTGTGAAAATCATCATTTATCGCGACGGCGTTTCCGAAGGGGAATACGCTCGTGTCATCAGCAACGAGATAAACCAGGTTGAAGGTACGCAACGCTGCTAACATTCATTGTAGCTCAGATGCTGAAAACATTGGCTCAGAGGCGTTGAACGCAATTGAACCTCGACCACCTTATAAGCCCCAAATAGTGTTCGTTGTCGTCGGTAAAAGGTAGCATGCGCCTCTGAGTATGCCTTACTTTGTATGTGGACACTAACATTGTTCGTTAAAGGCATCACGTTCGATTTTTCCCTACAGGCCAGTGAGTAGATGAGCCATACTTGATTCGCACCTGTCTGACACACTCTGGTTCAGATCCCCAGCAGACTCGAGTGGAAATTGCAGGGCAGGTCTTGTCGTGGATCGAGAGATCGTGCACTCTAGGTTCCTGAGTTTCTACCTGCAATCACATGGTGGCATTATAGGCAGTGAGTACCTTTGACCATTCGTGAGAATTGTCTGACTTCCTTCATCTGTTCACAGCCTCTCGCCCAAGCAATTACGTAGTGCTAAGAAACGATCCCAATTGGACTCCGGATCAGTACGTAGCAGCGCTTTCCTCCGTCCACTTTGTGTTTTTTGACAGGGGTTTTTCTTTCTTTCTTCTCAGCCTGCAGGGCGTTTCGTTCGCGCTGTGCCACGTGTATGCTCCAGCGACGCGTTCAGTGTCTATCCCAGCCCCTGTATATTGTGAGTTGCTGTTGTGAATCAGATGACAGTATCGCTATAGCCAGTTCACGTGTACGCAAACTATTAGATGCCGACGTGAGTGACAACGCCGCATTATATGTTTTTCTTACCGCTAATGAAAGGAATACTTGTCCCATTCAGAAACTATGCACTCATGCCGCGTATCAATTCAAATCTCAAGATGGACTTGCAGACTACGACGACTCAAGCTCAGGCATTGGAACACATGACGACGCGCCGTTCAATCTCCAAGCATGGCAAGAACGACTGAAGCCTGCACATGGTGCGGTCAGAGATAAGATGTATTTCATTTAGGCAGGAAAAACGCAGGCCTGGATTTATTTCTCTATCGATATAGGAGGCACAGTGTTTTTCCTTGATGTACCATAGCTATCCTCGATCCAGCATGTTGTGGATGAGGCACATCACAGTACTTTGGATGGCTGTATTGGTAGCTTTGTTGAAGTCAATGTCGCTCAACTTGCTTCTTTGACACGTGTTCTGTGCGATATCACATAGTTCAGTGTCAGTTATGTCAGTCTTATAGTTTAGGACTGACAAGATTACTATTCCTCCCCCATGACATCAATTCATTCAGAGTACCTACCTTTGAAAATGAAAATGAACACAACGTGAAAAATCCACGCAGAGAAATCTCGTATGCATTAAGGGGGAATCGAACCCCCGGCGGGTCGACGGATGCAACCGTTCGAATGGCAACGACCCAGGTTACCACTACCCCATTAATGCTTGGAGATCTTGAGCAACGAGCCGGGATGATTCGCATGTCCAAGTATACCGTGTTCGCGTACTGTTGAACGGGCTCCCAGTCTCATTTCTATTCATCTTGTCATCGACACAGTGGGTCCTCAACCAAGATGAAGGACTCGCTGAGATGAAAATTTGCGCCAAGAGTTTTCATTGTCCTGGTCACAGATCCACCGTTTAAGTACACATAGCATAGTGAATGACACATTATACGCGTAGATACCCAAGTCTCATAATCAAAACTTGTTTTTACCTGTGTGTTGCACAGGTAATTGATGCGTTGCAAGCAAGAACAAATGGTCACTACATGTTACCTACCACAGCCGCAAATAGAGCAGAGCATATTGTAAACAGCAGACTGCAGGAGAGACTCGGGGCAGCACTATGCGAACCAGGTACAGGGAGAAAATGCCGCGAGTCGGAAGCCTGCTGTGCGGAGGATTCCTGTGACCCAAAGAACGAGCTCAGCGAGAGACAGTGCGAACAGATGAATGGTAAGTAGAACTGACCTTGAAAGTTACAATCCCGACGATGATTGCTGCAGCGAAGAATACAATAGCTTGGAGGAGCCAGATGACTCCCCAGACTAGCGATATTGGGTCAGCTGAGAGAATGAAACGGGCGAGCAAGACTGTTTACCCTGGGAGGGACAACATCCGCAGATGTCGGCAAACGAACTTGCATCTGACCCGTTCACCTTGCGCGAAATGGTATCATCTGCAGCGTTGCTTGGATGAGCAAATCGCAAGAGCAATGAAGTTTCGCTACACCTCACCTATGACGTCCCATAGTACGTACATATCAGACATGACGCCTATAAATAGTATCTAGGGCGACGACTCAATGCAATGCAAAGTAGAAATAACAATGAAATGGTCCTTACAAAATATCTCAAAGCAACTCCTCCTCCCACGAACCAAAAGAGGACAATCAAACCCGACATGCCCAGGATAAGAATCCATGTTCTACCCAAAGATTAGCGAGAGATCGTTGTGCAACGCAGCTATTGTAAACTCACAGTATCTCTCGCCTTGCCCACCAGAGAAAGAATAAGAAGAACACGGCAAGAACTAAACATGCGATCTTGCTGGCGTTTGTGTCGAAGCCACACACGATGAGCGCAGCGCCGATCAAGCCTGAACCAAGGTATCCAGCAGGGAGCGTTAGCCAGGGAATACCTCCTGACATGTGCGTCGCTCCGCCCTCATCGGCTTTAGTTAAATATGAATTATCGTGCTCGCCACAGTGAGTGCTTCACACTCACGGTCGATCTCAATAGAATGAATAGTCGCACAGGTGAGGACTGAGACGCGGGGTCAATGGCTCCATCTCGGCTGGGCTAGCATGCGAACGAAGGATGCTCACCACCGACTAGTGCATGACTCATCTGAGACAGATTCACAAACCGTCAGCCACTGTGTCCAAGCCTAGTGAAGGGGGGATTACCTCATGGAACCCCACTGTCAAAAGTCTGTTCGAGAACGACTTCGGTAAGTTTCACAGTCCCCGCAGCGGTTGCGGAACTCACTTGAAGGGATACACTACGGTTGCGGGCACCCGAGAAGAATATACAGTGAGCCTCGCTCGAGCTATCGCACACGGAGATTACTGAACTCACGTATCAGCGTCAGGTACGGAAGATGCCTGCAAATGGTGATCAGTCATTGCACAAACAGTATACAGCGAGCTAGTAAGACATACCACAGAAGAGCTATAACGACAATATAACACGCCGCCACTATGAGCGTCGTTCTCTGGGTGTCATTTGGCGTGAGCTGTTCCCGTGCATTTCGTGCAACAAGATACACAGGGTGGTTCGAAAATGAGCTATCTGTGACTTGGGGGTAGTACCCTGCAGATGAGTGGTCGTAAACAGGCATTCAAGGTCTTCGCGAGAGTTGTGAGTAAGACGGAGGCGGTGGTACATGGAAGAGTAGCACAGGTCCGCAAAGCGAGGCTCTTGGGGTTCGGGACGTCAAGCACTGAACTGGCCCAACCAGGGAATCTCATCAACTCGGCGTTGCGCGCCTCTGCAGCGTCATGCGCAGCCACACGCCTACAATACCGGTTCAAAGTGACTTAGAAATGATATACCAGTCATGAAATACGTAGATTCGTGATTACGATAGTAGGATACAGACGAGTACAGAAGAGCGTGCAATGAGACCGAGAACGTATGCAGACAAAACAACAGCAACATGAGCAATCCAAGGCGTAACAGACACAAAGAGGATAATGATAGAGGCGAAGGCGAAGAGGAGACAAGGAGGAAAGCAGACCAAACACATAGTGATTTTAGAGCTCCTCGTCAGTGAACACCTCCTCACCACGCTTCCTCCGGGCGATGCGGTCCTTCTTAGCCTTGCGCTGCTCAGCCGCAGTGAGCTTCTTCTTCTTGTTGACCTCGATCTTGTTACCCATAGCATCGTACTGATCCTCTTCCTCACCCGCCTTCTTGTCGATGCGGGCACCAGAACCTTGGCCCTCAACCCAGTTGTGGCCGGACGCCTCCAGACGACCGTCGCGCATGGCCCAAACTTCCTTGCAAAGAGACTCGGAGAAGTCACGGTTGTGCGTGATGACGAGCACACCACCCTCGAACTCTTTGAGCGCCTTGATGAGAGCAGCGAGCGACTCACGATCGAGGTAGTCTGAAAAGATATTTGTCAGCTTACTAGTTCAAACAGTATCAAGACGGCGCAAACGCACTGGTGGGCTCATCCAAGCACATGATGTGAGGACGACGCCATGTCGCGGCACCGAGGACAACCTTGACCTTTTGACCACCGGAGAGACCACGCATGGTGTTATGCGACACAAACTCGGACTCGAGACCGAAGTCAGCGAAATGCTTCTCAATCTCGCGACGAACGAGTGGACGCATGAGTCCGAGACGCTGCGCCTCACGGGTATCGACCTCAAGAACCTTCTTCTCAAAGCCACGCTTGAGGAGCTCATCACGAGCGATCCAGATGTTCTCGGAGGACGACATGTTCTTGAAGGAGACCTCGTACTCGTACGACTGCTTCAGCTTCTTGCGGCTCAAGATCTCGTCGATGATGCGCTTCGTGCCCTCGTGGACGTAGACGGAGCCCTCCTTCATCTTCTGCTGCTCCTCCTCGGTAATCTGGCGCGACTCCTTCATCATCTCCTCGAGATCCTCACCAGTCTGGTAACGCCACAACATGTACTCGAGAGGAGTTTTGTCGAGGTGCTGATCAATGTGGTGGAAGGCATGCTGGGCAACGTAACCGATGACAAGGTTGGGGTGTTTCCAGACCTCACCACCGCAATTGGGCTCGGTGTCGCCGATGAGAAGCTTGACGAGAGTAGACTTTCCAGATCCGTTGGGACCGAGGACAGCAACACGGGAAGAGAGAGAGACTTGGAGGGTGATATCATAGAGCTGCTGCACAGTCTGAGTGGGGTACTTGAAGCCGACCTTTCGCATCTTGATCAATGACTTCTCCTTGGTCTTGACTCCGTCAAGGAGCGTCGGATCAGGGATCTTGAACATGTAGTCCTCAGCAGCCTCAAGGGTGTAGTAGGAACGGGCCTCGGGAACCTGCTTCATGAACGCCTCGAGGTTACCCTTGTAGCGGCGCAGCTTGAAGCGGTTAAGGTGAAGGACATCCGTGATGGTGTTGTTTAAGAAGCCGGAGTCGTGCGAGACAATGATGGAAGTGCATGTAGTGAGAGACGTGAGGTAGCTCTCCAGCCATGCGACGTTGACGACGTCCAAGTGATTCGTGGGCTCATCGAGCAGGAGGATATCAGCCTTGAACAGCATGGCACGAGCCAACGCGAGCTTCATCTTCCAACCACCAGAAAGACTTCCGATAGCCTGCTTCTGCCTCTCGTCATCGAAGCCAACCGAGGCCAACGTTTCAGTGATCTCCTCGGTGTTCGCCTGAATACGCTTGTCAGAACAGATGAAATCGAGAACAGAGGTGTCAGCCTCAGTTCCATCGATGTCGTGCTCGACGTAGAAGGTGCGGACTTCATCGGGAGATGGGAAGCCCTCAACCTGGCCGTTGGTAATGGCACGCATCAGGGTTGACTTTCCGGTACCGTTCCTACCACAAAGACCGTAACGGTGACCACGCTTGAGACGCAGAGTTGCCGTGTTGAGCAAAATCTTTGCACCATAAGCCAAAGAGAACTGGCAGTTGCAAAGGTCCTCGCCCTCCTCTTCGTCATCGGCGACGGCGTGATCCTCCTCTCCAATGGTGGCAGACTTGACGACCCACTCGTTGACGATGGTGAGCGGATCGGGGCTAGTCGTGAGGTACTTGATGTACGGAATGAGCAATTGCCATTGCGTGGTATCAAACTCCTTAGCGTTGACGAGGTTGACGGCAAGGTTCGAAGCGTAGATGGTCTCGAGGTTGGCCACGGAGGGAACGGGGTTCGCGCCAGCCTTCTTGTAGATCGCGATAAGTGAGTGGGCGAGCTGCTTCTCGTCGGCGAACTTCAGGGGAGGAAGATCGGTACCGTCTCCGTGTGGCACCTCACCGACCTGACGGAGGGTGGCGATGGCACGACCAACGACACTGCGAGCCTCTGGGTCACCGATGGTTGTCTCCACCTTGATGAGACCGGGAAGCAACTTGGGGATGAAAGGACGGACGGTGACAGGGGAGTCGACGAGCTTGGCCATGTTGTCAACGATGCTGTGATACAATTGAAACCGCGCGCTCATCACGGCGAACAATAATGAAGGACTTACACAGCAACCTTGCGCTTAGTAGCAGTCAGCTTCTCAGAAAGTCCACGAGAAAGCAGAGGCACCATGAGGGAAAGGGTAGGAGAATCTACTTCCGAAACGAATGTGGTGGCCGAGAGGAGTCCAATAGTAGGAACGACCTTCTCGACCGGGTTAATCAAAGAGTCGATGAGAGCAGGAATGAAGCGTTCGATATCCTTGTTCGAAATCAATGCGGTGGCCTTTTCGAGTGTAACGCGTGCCGCCTTCTTCACGT